ATTAACATAAAGCGTTTTTCTTCTCAAAACAATATGTGTTCAAAAGAGTGATACATTTGCATCACAAAACCATCGTCCTCAAAAAAGTTACACCTCATAATCGCTTGGCACTATTTTCTCTTCGTTCGTATCACTGCCTGCACTGACTTTTTTGAGGATGAAGGTTTTGTGATGCAGAGGGGCCCGGTCAAGCAGAAGTAAACAGCAAGGCCACAAGTTCAAGTTAATGCATCTGATATAAAAATGTATTGAACAGATACATATGTACTCTAGTTTATGAAACTGTTTACTTTTTTTCTGTACCATTTTTGGTTCTAAAGTTCCATACGTTTTAAACAGACCATGTATGAAACATGGAACAAAAATTATTTCCCAAATTTCAAAGACCTGAAAATCATGTAAATAAATGGATGTATTTCATCATATCTTGTGTTATTCCATCTTTGAACTGTTGATGAAGGTACAGGATTTTTTTTTTTTTTTTATGTATTTAAAATGAAAAAAATTTGCTTGGAAGGACTGACATATTTTATAGAAATAGTTTCCTTTCATTTTGAAGTAATATTAAAGATTTCGGAAGAAAAAAGCGACAAATTATGCAAAATCATGCACCTGCTTATCTCCATGAAGCTCGTCTAATGCCTTAATGCGGAAGTTTTCAATCAAATCTTCTAGCCTGATTCATCAGCTGGTTTCACTTCATGGAAACCGTCTGACCTCACACCATTAGGATTCGTTCGCTCAACAGTAGGCGGGTACTTTTTTTTATTTAACCAATCGCTGCTGTTTGGTCATGACGTTTGTAATGCGTCAAATCCTGTAGGAAGAAGAACAATAACGGCTTTCCTCTTGATCAAATTCACCAAACATTTTCTTTGTTCCGGCTTTAAATCCTCGATCTCAGGAATCGTTGACAACACAGAATGTTTGTCTTCGTCTCAACGCTTTGTTTACTGTTGTGCTGTTCCACAAAAGTGACCCAAGACAGACGCTTGAATTTGACGTCATGGCTTCACAGATCTTCTCTGATTGGCCGGTGCTCGGTCTACAACTTCCGGGGCTTTTGCAAACCGTCTAGTGTATTCTGATTCCTGACCTAGTCGCTGGAGAGAAATGAAATTGAGCGGAGGCAGTGGCTACAAATCTTCACCTTCACCCAGAAAAAGTTACATAGTGAATTTTAAATAATCTACATGTGGTGTATTTTAATGACAATTTTAGACAAATCTTCTCTGTTTAAGTGAAAAAGCCTGTAAGCACTTACCCAGACTTAACACTAGAATAGAATGACCAGATTTTCAAAATAAAAACACTGAGACACGCCCAGTTTTTGATGGTTGGTAGTAATAAAATTGTGAATCGAGTGTGTAATTAAGGAAAATTGTTCACTCAGCCCATTCATGATGAACACGAGTTAGTATATAGTCACATTTTCTTTGTGTTTTGGTAATTTTTAAGCAGCTTTTCTCTATTTTACATAAACAATGACAATTTATTCCTTTCTTTATTGTTGGCAGAGTTCAGACTGGTCAAAAATAGGGACATATGGAACATTTCTTGTGTATAAACTCGGAAAAATCACTGGTTTTGTATAAATCTACTAGGACAGGGGACACAGGGCTCAAAACTGGGACTGTCCCGGGTAAATAGAGTCATCTGATCAAACTGATCAGGGTTAAAAATCTGCTACTGGTTCACCGTCTTTTATTCTCAAATACTGATTTTAGATTTTAGAAAAATCTTCTCTATTTAAGTGAGAAAGCCTGAAAGTACTTACCCAGACTTAAAGGTTGTATAGAGGATTTTCCAAGGAATGAGAAATCCAGCGACTGTTTGTCCTTTTTCAAATGTTGCGCATGCGTGAAACCACCCCCCCTCCCCTACAGCTCCTACGTAGAAACGCCTCCTCCCTCCTCCTCCTTACGCCAGAAACAGGTTTGTTTACAGCCGGTGCTGCACATGACTTGTAAACAACTAACTACAGTGTTGGTTAGGCAAGACGGAGAAGTGAGGAGCGGGGGGGAGCGGGTGCGCGGACATTTCGTTCGCGGACGAGAAGTGAGGAGCAGGGAGAAGAGCGGAGCAGGGAGCAGGGAGAGGAGAGAGGAGAGGGAGCGACGGAGAGTGGGGAGAGTGAGGAGCAGGGGAGAGGGAGGGCGGAGAGGAGCAGGGAGAGGGGTGTAGAGAAGGTTGCGCGGAGATTCAGTGCGAATGAACTAGCTACTAACAACACGCAGCAGAAAGCGGACTCTTTCTTTGCCTTGAAAATTACGTTTTCAGACATAGGATATCGCTTTCGTGTCCTGAAAAACGTTTGACTAGCTCTTGGAAATAAAGTACGTTTTCATAATAAGCAGAAGTTTCCTGTCCAGGAGTAATTTGTGGACCAGTGCGTCAGTCTTTAGACTCTGCGTCTGCTTCAGTCGCGCATCGCTGGAATGAATCTTCAAGAATCACCTTAGTTTGGCTTCGCTGCTTTTCCCCTTGTCTTCTTCTTTCAGCGACCTCAAAAACTGACTTTCTTTTGCGGCGAACTGCTCCTGGATTCTTGTCGCCATTGCAACAAACTTTGTGCGAACTGCGAGGAAGATATAGGTCAAAAAAAGCCGCTAAGAACTGTTGCGTTGGTGGAGTAAACAGCGTCTGTGCGTCTTGCGTCTGTGGACTGCGTGACAGTCGTACGTAAACCACGTAACGGCGGCGCAGGCAAGTCAGTTACGCTAGAAACGTAGGGAGTTTGATTGACAGCCTGTCAGCTCACAGATAACGAGGCAGTGTCGTTATCTATTGGCAAATGTTTAGCCCCACCACGTCCAGAGTTGATGAATTTTTACTCTCTTTTTTTTGGTCATCATAATTACAAGGCTACTGCACCTCTATAATGCTATCATTGACAATTTGAAACAAAAAAAAAAAAAAAAAAAATCCTCCATACAACCTTTAACACTAGAATAGAGTGAACAGATTTAAAAAACAAAAAACAAAAAAAAACTGGGACACTTGATTTGTGGTTGTGAAACGTGCAATTAAGGAAAAAATGTTCTGCACTCAGCCCATTCATGACAAACATGAGTCAGTATAGTATAGTATTTTCTTTGTGTTTTGGTCATTTTGAAGCAGCTTTTCTGTATTTTACCTAAAAAAATAACCATGTATGCCTCTCTTAACTGTTGGCAGGGGTCAGATTGGTCAAAAATAGAGACAACTGGGACATTTCTGATATAAAACCAGCGTTGTGTTTGTCTCAGAGCTCACAGACGAACGCTGCAGGCAGATGGAGGAACACCACAGCTGCAGCAGAATGACTTTAGTGCGTTTGTCACAGCAGACGACGTGTTTTCACTAATGACATTTCCAAAGTGATTCTATGTAAATGTGTCACGTCGTGTTTAGAGCAGCAGAGCGCGGGGCTGGTACTGAGCGGGGCCGGGTACAGATGGGAGATGGTCCTGGTGCAACTCGCGAGAATTCAGTCAAATAAACCAAGAGAAGTCAGTATAGACGACGTTACAGGAAGACGAACTTGAGTAATTATTAAAGAGTCAATACGGTGCTCACTGATTTTCTTTTTACCACGTTTTCCCAATTCAAAAACTTGAAAAAATGGACTAAGACTTGGGACTTTGACTTGGACTTGAAGGTCAAAGACTTGAGAAGATTTGAGAAGCATTTTTAAATCTGAATTCTTTCTATTCTGACCTTAATGATTCACACTAAGATCATGTCAAGACATTTAAAAAGAAAAAAAAACTAAATTAATTTCTACAACTCATACATAGTCTATAAACACTCATAAATAAATATACTATGATTTTTTTAAAGTACAATTTAGCTTAAAATTCATAAATTGAAAAAAAAAACAAAAAAACAAAGCTATATTTAGTACATTGGTTTAAAGACTTGAAATGACTTGAAGCTCAAAGCAGACGACTTGGACTTGACATGGACTTAAGGGCCAGTGACTCGAGACTCGACTCGGACATTCCTGTCTTTGACTTGGGACTTGAGTCGGACTTGAGCTTACAGGCGAATTGGTGCAGTGATGCAGTCATTGTTGTGGTGAAGAAGGAGCTGAGTCAAAAGGCAAAGCTCTTGATTTACTGGTCAGTCTATGTTCCTCATTTCACTTCTGGTCATGAGCTCTGGGTAGTGACTGAAAGGACAAGATTGTGGATACAAGTGGTTGAAATGATTTTCCTCTGGTGGCTGGGCTCTCCCTCACAGATAGGATGAGGAGCTCAGTCACACGGGAGGAGCTCAGAGTAGAGCCGCTGCTCCTCCACGTTAAGCGGGAGCAGTTGAGGTGGCTCGGGCATCTGTTCTGGATGCCTCCTGGACGCCTCTCTCCGGAGGTGTTCTGGGCACTTCCCACTGGCGGAAGGCCCCGGGGAAAACCCAGGACACTCTGGAGGAACCAAGTCTCTGAGCTGGCCTGGGAACGCCTCAGGGTCCACCTGGAGGAGCTGGAGGAAGTGTCCGGAGTGAAGGAAGTCTGGGAGTCTCTGCTTAGACTGATGAACAAAATGAATGACGCACAAAAGGCCCATACAGCCTCTGTTTTAGATTCGATATTTCCCAAAGTCTGGCCTATGCTCTTTTTTAAAATGCATGACTGTTTCCCACGGCGATCAGTTAGGACGTTTTCTCTCTGTCTGATGTCCTTTGTGGCCGAAGTTTTCTCTGATTAAGAGTTTTGCTCCGGCCCAAGCATCTTATGATATATGGGAGCACAAAGTATAATAGGATATCACATTAATATTATTATGTCAGAAAAGCAGAATGTTTGAAAAACTGTAAAGCGCCGCTACTCCGACAATGAAAAAAAAATAAAAAGTTGAAGTAGTGGGACGCTTGAAAAATAATGTTTATGCCACTTCTCCGACAGCTGGTCGTCAATGTCTAAATAGCGGCATGTCGGAATAGCAGAATGTGACATGTAAGGGAAGAGTAACACCTGTATTTCAAACATTTCACCATGACGTGTTCTTTTCTCGCGGCAGAAAACCAAGATCTCGACGTACGATAAGATGTGGGAGTTCATGAGCAGCCGGAGACACTCGGTGATGGTGAAGAACGTGGACGAGGGCATCCACCGCGTGCTCACCTCGGACTACGCCTTCCTCATGGAGTCCACCACCATCGAGTACGTCACCCAGAGGAACTGCAACCTCACCCAGGTCGGGGGGCTCATCGACTCCAGGGCCTACGGCGTCGGGACTCCCATGGGTGAGTGGTAAACAACCTGTGGCTGTGGTATGTTTGCAAAATGGTGCAGTACTGAAAGGTGATGTCGCTGGTTGGATTTTTATGGTAGATTGAGAATAAAAGGCATACAGACGTAGAGATAGACCAATATAATCGTTTATAATCGGCCAATATTTGCACTTTTATACGTAGCAGCTATCGGCCTCAAATTTCTAACACAGGCTGATATTTTCTTTTGGCTGAACATGTGCCAAAACAATGCAAGTCATACCTGGACAAAACGCTAATTTAATGTTAAAAAAATGGGCCGTGGATGAGTTTTTTGTAAATTTAAATAACATCATTTGGATAAAATCAGCCAAAAGTATCAGCAGAGTTTATCCATCCGTGTGTCATTTGTTCATTTTGTTTTTTAAAATAAAACCAAAAATAAGAAAATGAAAAAAACAACAACTATTTTCTTCATTATTTGTCTCCAAAACCAAAATGAAAAAACAGATAATGACTCGTTTTTTCAGTTTTCCATTTTGTGTTTAAATGAAAAATGGTAAAAAAAAAAAAAAAACGGATAACGGTCGTTTCCCGTTTCCGTGACTTAATGATTCGTTCGGATAATGACTTAAACTGTGAGGCCGAATTTTTTTGCACCACATACGGACTGAACCAGGACTAAACCAGGTCTAAACCAGGACTGAACCAGGATTGAACCAGGACTAAACCAGAACTTAACCAGGACTAAAACAGGTCTAAACCAGGTCTAAACCAGAACTGAATCAGGACAAAAATAGGACTAAACCAGGACTGAACTAGGACTCAGTGTCGGGACGGGCCCAGAGGTATGCCAGCGTAGACTGTCCGGTGATCAGGACTGAGACCAGGACCAGACCGGGACCAGACCAGGATTGAGACCAGGACTGAGACCGGTTTAGTCCTGATTTAGACATAATTTAGACCTGATTTAGACATGATTTAGACCTGATTTAGTCCAGGTTCAGTCCTGGTTTAGACCTGTTTTAGAGCTGTTTTAGTCCTGGTCCAGTCCAAATGCGACGCAAAAGTCCAGCATCGCAGTTTAAGTCACGGAAACGGGAAACATTATCTGTTTTTTTTCCATTAATCATTTAAACACAAAATCAAAAACTGAATTATTATTATTCAGTATTATTATTATTTATTTTTTTCAATTTGATTTTGGAGACAAATAATGAAGAAAGTTGGAAAATAGTTGTTTTTTTCTTTTTCTTACTTTTGGTTTTATTTTGAAAAACAAACGAACGAATGATACATGGATTCTTATCGACCATCGGTTGATCTGAATTCTAAACGGTATCGGCCATGAAAAAAAAAAAAACATATTGGTCGATCTCGAGTTAGAGCTGGTGTTTTTGATTTGATTTCAACAGAGAAGTAGAGGAAGGTCTTGCTGTTCAAATGTGATATAAAGTAAGTTGATTTGTGCAAAATGTTTAATGTTCACGAGCACCAACACGTCAACACTGCAGCCTCTTTCTGGGAAGTGTGTGTCTTAGTTTCAGAGCAGTTTCAGTGTAGTTAGCTCCTCCCTTCAGGCAGATATAAGGCAGTTTCCTCCAGCGTCTGAACAAAACTGAAGCTGCGAAAAGTCTTCACTCTAAAACATTTGCTCAGTTGACAGAATTTCATTTTTCTTTTGCCCTGGATCCGACCTGGACGACCGAGGGATTACAAAGACTTTCTCTGTACAACTTATTTGCTGTTGAGAGCTGCAGCCCTGTGCAAAATCACACAACCGGAAAAGAGGCTACAGACAACGATGAAGCCCTTGGCAACTTCCTGAGCAAGATGAATATAATTTGTGCCCTTGAGCAAGACACTTTAGCCGCCTTAGCAGAAGCTTAATGATGTGTTTTAAATTTAAACCGTTTCTACTATTGCTGTTAAAGTTGCAAGACGAGTTTATTTGTACACAGTGTTGGGAAGGTGACTTTTAAAATGTATTCCCCTACAGATTACAGATTACACACCCCAAAATGTAGTTTGTAACGTAATCCATTAAATTACTTCAAGTGAGTAACGTAATCTGAATACTTTGGATTACTTGATATTGTCATATTTTTTGAAACTACATGGATGTACCAACCACATCCTGAAAATTCATGTTTGTTCTCGTCAAATTGTGTGTTGAGCCCAAGTCTCCATGAACAGGTGTTTGTTTACTGTAAAGTAGCAAAGACGAGGATCTGAACATATCTGCTTAAAGACAATAAAAAATCCAGTCTTTCCTTAACCTTATTAAAAATATTATTGATAAAGAAATGCTTTTTATATGAGGTCACTGCTGCCTGAAATTATGTCCACCCTAATGTTCGGTATCATATTGTTTAGATCTGGTTTGGTCCTGGTTGAGTCCTGCTTTAATCCTGGTTTAATCCTGGTTTAGTCCTGGTTTAGTCCTGGTTTAGTCCTGGTTTAATCCTGGTTTAGTCCTGGTTTAGTCCTGGTTTAGTCCTGGTTTAATCCTGGTTTAGTCCTGGTTTGGTCCTGGTTTAGTCTTGGTTTAGTCCTGGTTTAATCCTGGTTTAGTCCTGGTTTGGTCCTGGTTTAGTCCTGGTTTATCTGGTTTAGTCCTGGTTTAGTCCTGGTTTCCTGGTTTAGTCCTGGTTTAGTCCTGGTTTTAGTCCTGGTTTTAATCCTGGTTTTGGTCCTGGTTTTAGTCCTGGTTTTAGTCCTGGTTTAGTCCTTGTTTGTTCCTGGTTTGGTCCTGGTTTAGTCCTGGTTTAATCCTGGTTTAGTCCTGGTTTAGTCCTGGTTTAATCCTGGTTTTGGTCCTGGTTTTAGTCCTGGTTTTAGTCCTGGTTTGGTCCTGGTTTGGTCCTGGTTTAGTCCTGCTTTAATCCTGGTTTAATCCTGGTTTAGTCCTGGTTTAATCCTGGTTTAGTCCTGGTTTTGGTCCTGGTTTTAATCCTGGTTTTGGTCCTGGTTTTAGTCCTGGTTTTAGTCTTAGTTTAGTCCTGGTTTTAGTTCTAGATTAGTCCTGGTTTAGTTCTAGTTTTAATCCTGGTTTTAGTCCTGGTTTAGTCCTGGTTAAGTCCTGGTTTTAGTCCTGGTTTAGCCCAAAATGTGAAAACAGGAAAATACCGCCCTGTAATCCATTTATTTCAACAAAGTAACTGTAATCCAATTACCACTCATTGAAACAGTAACTGTAACTGAATACAGTTACTCATAATTTGTACTCTGATTACATAACTCCAGTACGTATAATCTGTTACTCCCCAAAACTGTTTGTACAGCACAATTCGTACACAAACTAAGTCAAAGTGCCTTATTAAAATCACAATACAAACAAACCAAAATGTAAATAATCATCATAAAATTAAAAAAGACAAAGAGACATTAAATGAGAGAATGAAAAATGAAAACCGTTTTGAGTCTGGATTTAAACAGAGACAAAGTAGAGGCCGGAGAGACTGTTCCAGGTTTTATCTGCATGAATCTGAAACTCTGACTCCCCTTGTTTAGTCGTGACTCTGGGCACCAGCAGGAGTCTGGTCCCTGAGCTCCTCAGAGTGTGAGATGTTCATACGACACTAACATGTCACAGATGGACTTTGGTGCTCGGCCACGGAGAGACTAGAGCCACTTTAAACTCTCTTCTCTGAGCCGCAGGAGTCCTAGTTCGAGTCAGGACCCGAGTTGCAATTTGTAGCTTGTCTTTTGGACGGTCCATCACCTGCTTCTCTCCATGGAAATGTGCCTAGAATATTCCACAGTTTGGCCATAAACTAAAGAATCTCCATGGAGACTTTTGGATTTGTGGAGAGGCGACCCCACTCCCACTAAGAATGTATGATTATTAAGATATTTTTCAGCACCTGTAGTTGAATAAATGCAAGACAGATGAGTTTAATATCATACTGCGGTATTAAATTTAAACCAAAGCATTAACTCCTTGGAGACAAAAAGGTTACAGACCCGCTTCAGAGTGCAACTTAAACTTCTCACTGGCAATTAATCAGATAATAATGAGTCTATACTGTCTCAAAGCACCGTTCTTGTAGGTTTTAGTCTGACTTGCGTTGCCTCATGGTCGATCTCGAAGTCTTGTTCACGAGTGAGATTGACAGGCGGATCGGTGCAGCGTCTGCAGTGATGCGGTCGCTGTATCGGACCGTTGTGGTGAAGACGGAGCTGAGCCGAAATGCAAAGCTCTTGGTTTACCGTCAATCTCTGTTCCTCCCCTCATCTATGGTCATGAGCTTTGGGTAAAGACCCAAAGGACGAGATCGCGGATACAAGCAGTCGAAATTAATTTCCTCCGCAGGGTGGCTGGGTGCTCCCTTAAAGGTTGTATAGAGGATTTTCCAAGGAACGAGAAATCCAGCGACTGTTTGTCCTTTTTCAAATGTTGCGCATTCGTGAAACCACCCCCCCTCCCCTACAGCTCCTACGTAGAAACGCCTCCTCCCTCCTCCTCCTTACGCCAGAAACAGGTTTGTTTACAGCCGGTGCTGCACATGACTTGTAAACAACTAACTACAGTGTTGGTTAGGCAAGACGGAGAAGTGAGGAGCGGGGGGAGCGGGTGCGCGGACATTTCGTTCGCGGACGAGAAGTGAGGAGCAGGAAGAAGAGCGGATCGGGCAGTGGGGAGAGGAGCAGGAAAGGGGAGCAGAGAAGGTTGCGCGGAGATTCAGTGCGAATGAACTAGCTACAACACGCAGCAGCAAGCGGACTCTTTCTTTGCCTTGAAAATTACGTTTTCAGACATAGGATATCGCTTTCGTGTCCTGAAAAACGTTTGTCTAGCTCTTGGAAATAAAGTACGTTTTCATAATAAGCAGAAGTTTCCTGTCCAGGAGTAATTTGTGGACCAGTGGTTCAGTCTTTAGACCCTGCGTCTGCTTCAGTCGCGCCATCGCTGGAATGAATCTATCAAGAATCACCTTAGTTTGGCTTCGCTGCTTTTCCCCTTGTCTTCTTCTTTCAGCGACCTCAAAAACGGACTTTCTTTTGCGGCGAACTGCTCCTGGATTCTTGTC